TGAGACCAGTTATAAGGTAAATTACAACATCATTCAAGCACACAAAATTCCTCCTCTGGCATTTGTCCTGCAAAGTGCAATGCACCTTAAAAGTAGTGAAATGATTTCTGGCAGCCTGGGTCAGGGAGATGGGAGGCTGAGCCCAGCCTCTGCTTTTGCACCAGCTTCCAGCTCTGGGCAGCAGCTGGCCACTGCTCAGGCATGCTCTCTGCCTTTTTTGAAAGGTTTATGGATGGGTTTTCAAAATGGTGCTGTACCAGCCATAAACACTCACCATGTGCTGTCTCTATTTCCAGCAAATCTTGTTACAATTTTCAAAGCAGGGGACTAGAAAGACTTTAATTAGGGACTTGGTTAGGGAGGCTTGAGACGTATAAATCTTTCGTTACAATGAATGAAATTCTGAATAGACGCTGATGCTTTTGAAGCTGCCAAGACCCAAAAGATGGTCACGCAGATCCTAAGGAGATGGCCACTATTATGAATATTAGATATAAAAGGCTGTAAGGATACAAGGGCAAGAAGCCCAAAACAGGACAATAATTCCATTCAGAGTATGGGTGGCTTTTTCTGATACACATATTGGATTATGGGATTCTGTGCACTTATTTTAAGAAAATATTTGATATTGGTAAACTCTGGAGAGAGGGCTTCCCCCCACCCTGCTTTCAAAACACTTTTGTGTAGACAAAGCTGGAAGTTTTCATTTTACAGGACACAGCCCAATTAAAAAATTTGCCCCAAGTCTTGCAAGCAGCTCTGGGCGCCAGTCAGGCACAGCCTGTTGTGCGATGCTACTAACCTAAATCTTCTGGTGGGGCGAGAACGAAGGAGTTTTTGTTGAATTAGAGATTCCCGGAGAAATACTGTGGCCCCTGTGTGCAAAGGTTCATGCAAACCATCCCTCCCAAACTGCTGAGGCCCAACAAAAAGGAGAGAAAAGGAAAATGGAGTAGGGAATGCAGACTCGCACAACTTCACATTATATGAAACTAATCCAGTGAACACGAATCACACTCTTTTGTGATTAAAACATCCTGTATAAATACTCCGCAGTAATTTTTAAAGGATAACACAGCATGCAAAAGCTGAGAACTGGGGGCAGATTTAGTGCTTTGATTGCAAAGATATGTAGAAGGGGTAAAATGCAGTCAAAAAGAGCCCACTGAAGCCTGCATCATTTGGCTCCTTTCTGGAGCAAAGGAGCAGTATTTGTGGCTGGTAGGAAGTGTGTGTCAGATGGCCATGCTGCACAGGGAATGCCAGCATCGCTCTAGGACCCACAGGCAGCTCCAGCATTGGGGGGCCCAGCCCAGCAATCATCGGCAGTGGGAAGTACTGCGATTCTGGGGCACTGCTCTGCACATCTGGGAGAGGAGAGAGAGGCGAGGCTCCTTTTCTACTCCTACCCTCCCTCCTTCTGTACCATACAGATTTTTTTCTTGTGATTTCTCCAGTACAAACTGATTGCTGTTAGGGCAGTGGAAAATGGGTGGGAACCCAAAAAGGCTCTGTTCCAAGGCAGAGTCTCTGTGGCCTGCTCTGTCCCCCTTCTTAGCAAACTCTTATCCCAGTCCAGCTGCTTTCCCTTGGGAGAGCTACAGTACACCAAGTGCTGTCGCCCACGAGCACCGCCTCGACATGCAGTCACACAGACGAGTTTCTCAGCCTGACCCAGGCCACGCAAGCCACTGCATGCTGCCTCAGCCACAGAGGAAAGGTAGAGCAGGGCAGCTGATTAACCTAATTACTGTTTAAGTGCAGCAAGCGCTTTGTTTTCAAGCACAGCCCCCTCTGTGGAAGGGAAGGGAAGCAGCAGCTCACCCCTTCCTTGCTGTGGGACATGTGGATGGAGAGGGACTGCACAGGGAGCCCATGCAACTCTGTGGCAGACGTGGACAGTGGGAAGAGAGGGTGTAGCAGAAGCATTCCTGTGGAAAGATGGAGAAAGCTGGCTGCATGGCAGCAACAGGGAGAAGACACGTCCTGGCACAGCACTGGTGACAAGGGAGGATTTCTAGCTAGGATGAATGCCTCTACAGCCCTGTGTGGAGCAGAGCCTGCTGAGGTCCCACCAGCTCTGCTGGGATTCACCCATGAGGGATTAGGACCAGTCAATGAGGGACTAGATTACAACAACGGGAGCCCTATGCCTGGTCTTAGTGCCTGAACTAGCATGCAGAGATACTCACAAAGAAAATAGAAGGTTGCTGGGGAGTGAGGGAGCAGTAGCAGACACATCGCCCTGTTGTCCACCACTGACCACTCCCACATGTGGGCTGTGATGGTCAGCATGTCATGCGGGGGCCCAGGGAGCTGCTTAGGATGACGCTAGATGTGGAGACTTGCCTCTTGCATCTTCCCTGGCAGGTGAAGAAGCTCTACAGGATCATCAGCCCCGTCTCAAAAGTCAGGGGGGAGACTGATACTGGTCTCTGCTAACTCAGCACCAAAGGTCACTGAAAAGTACTCCGAACACTTTCATAACTTTTTTCCCCTCATTTTTTTTTAGCTTGTTTTTAGTTCTGTTGAAATAAAACGTCTTGAAGATAAAAATAATGAAGGCAAATGGTGGCCGTAGCACTTACAGGCAGGATTTAGGGAGGAGATGTGGGGAAGCAAAGCAAAGAGGGCCAGCCGGTATGCGAGCCTCGGTGGCAGCACAGGACAAGAGACCTGGTATCGGGGACGTGGCTTTTAGAAGCACCGGGGCGCGTTTGCTACAATGATCCACTGAAACAACAGCCGTCTAAAAATAAGGTTGTTTTCTGTACTAAGCTCCTTTTAACTTCGTTAGTCATCACCGCCTCCCAAAATAAGCTCCGTGTAACAGTCTCTCCTAGTAGCGGCTGTAAACAAACCCGGGGAGGCGGGAAGGAGGCGCGGGCCGAGGGGAGCGGGGGCGGGGCGGCCCCGCGGGGCTGCGGGGCGCCGGGCCCGGGGCGGGGGTCGGGGGCGGCCGCGGGGCCCGCGCTGCGCCGCCGCCGCCGGCTGCCCGCGCCGGCCGGCGGGGCCTTGGAGCGGCGCCACGGTGGTCCGGGCAACGGCATTAAACAGGAGGAAACAGACGGGGGATTCCGTCATTTCGGCGAGAGCGGGGCGGGGGGGCGGGGGGCGGCAGGAAAGGAGAGACCCGCCGAGAGCAGCACGGCTCTCGCCCGCCCCCGCCCCAGCCTCTCGGGAAGCAGCCGGGATATTCCCCCCGCCTCCCCCCGCGCCGGGCAGCCTCGGCAGCCGCCCCGGCGGGCCCCCGCGGGCCCGGGCACCGCGGCCCGAGCGGCCCCGTCGGGCGGCGGGGGGCGCGCCCTCAGCGCCGCCCGCGCCCGCCCCGCTCCGCGGCGCCCCCTGGCGGCGCCCCGCGGGCCCGCGCGCCGCTGCCTGGGGGGATGCGGGGGCCGGGAAAGGCCGCCGGAGGCAGAGCGCTTCTCTCCCGCCTTCTCCCGTTCAGTTCTCCTTGAAAGAAAAGCGTCCCCCTTTTGGTCCGTGTTTTGGGGTTTTCCTATCCGACGGAGCAGCCGAGGTCGGTGGAGGGTGCTGCGCTCGCCAGCGGCCGCGCTTCTTGCCGGGCACCGTCTTCCACCGATCTTCAGCGGAGGAGCCCGCCCCGAGGAGCCAGCCGCGGGCTCCCGTTCCCCAGGAGCGGACAGGATTTCGTTTATAATGGGTTTATTTCCAACCACATATGAGTGTCAGGCACTAGATTTATGATTTTTTGTTTTTCTTCACACACCAGATATATGCTCAAAACCACCCCACCTGGCCCGCGTGTCCCATTCCAAAACTTTCGTTCCCTCCTGCCAGCTGTGGGAGCAGAGGGAGGACGGAGCGGGAGCGGGGGCCGAGGGGAGCAGGGCTGGGAGCGGGGCGGCGCGGCCTCTCTCAGCAGCTCCGTCCGGGAGGCTCCCGCCTCGGCCGGGGTATCACGGCTGCCTCGGGGACCGAGACGAGGCATCCCGGAGATGGGAGGTGGGAGGAGGAGTCGCAGTGGGATGGAAATCTCTTCTCCCTGCTACGAAGTGATGAGACACAACTATGGTGCTGAGATATTTACAGAATAATAATAAATAATAATAATAATAAATCTGGAGCGACTGAAACCGAGTCCACGGGTCTGTTAGTAATTTAGCAGAATGGGATTTTCCTTTCTCTCGCCTGCCAGTTGATGCTCTTTTCCAAATTTCCACAGCGGGGGAAGCCTGCGATTTTTTTACATAATGATTCCAGCATGCGAGGCTGCCTCGCCTTTTTTTTCTTTTTCTTTTTTTTTTTTTTTTTTTTTTTTTTTTTTTTTTTTTTTTTTCCCCCTCTCCCTGCCTGTCCCTTTCGCTCCACGGTCTCCCTTCTTTCCCCACCTTCACTTTACGACCCAGCGCGCCGCCCGTTCTCCCGCAGGAGGGCACCCGGCTCCCGCAGGCTGAGGGGACCCCGCGGGCGGTGGCGGCGGGGCCGGGGCCGGGCGGGCGCCGTGCCCCGTGGAGGGGCGGGCGTCCGGGACCCGTCGGTGCCCGCCGGTGCCCGCCTCCCGCTGGCCGTCCGCCGGCGGCGGGGCCGGGGCCCGGCTGACATCACGGGGCCGGGGCGGGGAGAGGGGCCAGGAGGGGAAGGGGGGGGGGGGGTGTTTTCCAGCTTTAAAAAGGCTGCGCCGGGCGCGCAGCCCTGCGTCAGAGCGAGACTTCCCCGCTCCGCACACTCACTGCCCCCGTCCCCCGGCTGCAGCTCTCCGCGGGCGACAGCGCCCGCCGCCCCGTCCCGCCGCCTCAGCGCGGGCAGTGCCTACGAAGTCCCCACGCACACCCGCCCTCCCCTCCATGCCCCGTCCCCGGGGGGGCGGCGGCGGTGAGCTCCTGTGCCTCCGCGGGCGCGGCTACCACGCCGGGGGCGGCGCGGCCCCGATCACCGGGTCGTGAAGGCGGGCGGGGGGGGCGCGGGACAGGCGGGACAGGCGACGAGGGGCCGGCAGTGGCCCAGGGCGCGGCGCCGGGCTCCGCCGCCCCGCCGGGTGGATGCCAAGCGCTGCCCCGCCGGCCGCCGCCGCGCCGCCGTCGCGGGACCCATCCAGCGGGAGAGAGAAGCCGCCGGCGGCCCCGCAGGACGGCGCCCGCCCGCTCGGCAGCACCATGAAGGCGGCGGAGGAAGGTAAACGGGCGGCGCTGCGGGGGGCGGAGGGCGGGCGGGCGGGCGGCGGTGTCCCCCGGTGTTTCCCCGCGGCGGCCCGGAGGCTCGCCGGCGGCCGCTTGCCAATAGGTGTCTCTTTCGCCTCTCGCACGGCGCCGCCGCGGCCGCGCCGCTGCTCCCGGCCGCTTCTCGCCGGTCCTGGGCCCGGGCCCGCTCCCGGAGGGGCTACGCGGGCGCCTGGGATCCTGTCAGGGGCACACGCTCGGGGATTCCTTCCCATCCCGGGGTTTGAATTGGGGGAGGTCAGTATACAGCCCATTGTTGCAGCCAACCCACGTTCCTGGGAAAGGGAAGGAGTCCCGGGCAGTGCCGGGCGCCTTACCGGCGCTCCCGGCACACCGAGACAGACGGGCACGCCGCGGCCGCGCTGCGGGGCTCTGCCAACCCGCGCCCCCGGCGGGCGGGCGCCCTTCTGCCGCCATCCCGGCTCCGGGGGAGAGTTTGCCCTTCTATCCCATCTCTGCATCGCGGCTTCTTTCTCTGCCCCTGCTGCCCTGAAACACAGTGGCAAAGTTTCTAGAGGGACAGATGTTGGGAGCGGGGCTCGGGACGCGCGCAGCTCCTCCGGGCTGAACTTGGCCCCTGCCATGGGTAGTGTCTGGCTTACTTCACCCTCCCCTCCTGCCAATCGGGACACTGTTCTCCCCCTGGAGCATCGCCCCTGGACCTACCGCGAAAACTTTCGGACTTTGCCGCTGCTTTACGGCGCCTTTCGGCTCCAGCAGCGGGACCTCGCGGGCATCCCCGCCGGGCATCGCCTCCGCGTCGCGGCAGGTGCGGGGCAGATCCTGGCTCCCCGCTGCGGGCCGACGGCTCCCTGCTCCCCTCCCGGCTGTTCCCCGGCTCCTAAGTTTTCTCCCTATCCGGTGGTGCCGCCGCTTTGCAGCGGCTGCTGCTGGAGCTCGAGCAGGGCGCAGCGAGCTCGCACGTCCAGGGCAGAGAAAGTTGTGAAGAAGCGAAGTAGGAGGGGGCTGTCCATGTCCGCCGCGTTCTTGCCGCAGAGTGGGACAACGGGACTCCATTCGACGGGTTTGTCCCTGGAAAGCTGGAAGGAAAGCTCAAGACCCATCTCTCTCTCTTTTTTTTTTCTTTTTTTTTTTTTTTTAAATATTTTTTTTTTTTCAGCTGTTTTCACCCTACGGGTTCATTGCAGTTGACAAGATTCTGCCAGTGCGAAATCTACAAGCGCAGTTCTGACTATGGCTCCGCTTGCGAATCAAAGAGCCTTTTGGGATGGAAGTTAATTATACTGTATTTAATAGAAGTGGCTGGCGTGCCAGTTGCACACTCAGACATCCGTGGGCTGCACGCATGGCTCTTCCAATGCCCTGGGCTCCAAGGGCACTGAATACAACATTTGTAAAAATTAGATCCAGAGGCTGCTGACATAAAAAGCGTTCTGCAGTCTTTTGTAAAGGAAAAAAAAATCCCCCGGCTTTATTTCTGTGGCATTTTTTGATGCATATGTTAAAATGTGCCAACCCTCGTTGATAGTTCTCTTCCTTGGTGGTGTATTTTTCAAGGGACTAAGAAAATTAGTCCAGCCAAAAAGCATGACCCAATTCAGGAAACACGTAGGGGAGCCCTGCACATCAGGATTGCTGCCTGCAAATTAAGGTGCTATTTGATTGCCAAACTACAACAACCAAAGAAAATACTTTATTTCTTGTTTAGTCTGGTAAGAAATGCACAGAGTCCCATTGGGAGGACCTCATTTTTTGCTTTGTGTAGTAGTGAGATGTGGTGTCCTTTACCTTTGAAATTGCCTGTGGTTATTCCAGGTTTAATGCCATGGATAAGGTAAATTCCCTTTCAGGCTGGGGGCTGCAGCTGAAGCAGACCTCCTGATGCATCCCTTGTTGAACGTGTTTTATGGAGTTGGAACAACTCCAGTTAAGTCCAAGGAGAGACTGGGTGGGCAGAGGCTGAGCTGGTAGATCAGTCTGTGGGTCTTGCAAAGGCTCCTGGTGACATGGAAATGGCTTCCCCATCGCTCGTTTTGTTCTCCTCAGTTCAATGACTGTTTCAAACCTATTAGCAGGAGGGCCACTGTTACTCTGTCCCCACATCACTTTGTTTCTAACCTTAGTGATACCTTAATGGTATCACTTTGTTTCTAACCTTTTCATTGCACAGCTTTCCTCTTTCTCCACGGGAATGGGGCTAATCAAAATATTTCATTGACGGCACTAATACTAATGTCACTGACAAATCAAGCCGTCTGTAAATAGTGTGGGACAATTCACCAGCCTTGCAGGTACCATATGGGGGAGAGACAAAGGATTGGGGGCAACAGGTAACTGGGGGCTTCTCCTCACCTCCCCACCGGGGCACTCCAGGAGATGGGCACCTGGAGCAGAGTGGCATCAAGGAGGGTTGACACCAGTGGAACCGGGGGTCTGGCGGCTGGGGCGAGGTTCCTGTCTTGCCTGTAGGCCCTGATCAAGGGGACAGGAGGCACATCCTTTCCCGAGGCCGGGACAAAGGCTGAGGGACATGCACGGGTGAAGCGGGCCGCTATTCCTTGCGACGTGTCCTGAACCAGCACCACGGGGAGACCACGGTAGGGACAGGCGCTGGAGGACGAGTTCCCCAGCTGCCAAGGCCTTTAGCACACTCGGGTGAGTCAGCCCCGGCACTTGGGCGCTCACGGCCCCGCCGGGGCAAAGCCCAGCTCGGCTCCTGCGAGAGCCCAGCCTGCAGCGAGGCTCGTCCCGCCGAGGAGGGGGAGAAGAATATTGGGCTCAGATGGAAAAAAACTGTGTTTTCCTGGCACTTTAGAACGGAGATTTCGGTCTCGAGCCTGGAAAATGGTATTCCCTGAGTTTATAAGAGAATACTATTTCCAAAACTGTTTAAAAAAACTGCTCCTTTTTGAAACCCGACCTGAAGCTTCGGCAACTGAGGAGCCGAGCCGAGCTGCTGGGGCGGGTGCTCCTTTGCCTGGCGGGGACCTTTAGACGGGCACGGTGTAACATGACAGGAAAGCACTTCGAAACATAAAGAAACTCTTAATTTACTTTTTCCTTAATTTGTATCCCGTACGAGAGGGAAGACGGACTGGCCGGGCAGAGCTGTGGCAGCACCGCCACCGGAGCCCTTTGCAGGAGCCCTCCCGGTGTGTGGCGGCGGCCCAGGAGAGGACCTTTCTCTCCCCGGCGCACGGAGGAGGCCGGCAGCGTTCCGAGTCCCGTTTTACTGCGCTTTTTATAGCAGCTGGCACTAGTGGGTGCTGCGACTAAGTGAAATAAATAATAAATAAATGAAAGCGGAGCCTCTTGGCTCACAGAAGCGGCGTGGTGGGTACCCACGGAAGAAACTTTATCACTCGTTAGCGAAGAGGGGACACACCGGTGTCCCCCTTGAGTGGGCTGAGCAGCCCTTCCTCCCGCTGAAGAGCGGAAGGAGCCGCTCCGGCCCCGCGCCCTTACCGCCGGTCGGGAGCAGGTGAAGTCCCGCTCACCGCCCACCCCTGGGGCTCCCCATCCCGCCCACGGCGAGCCCTCGGCGGTCTGGGTCTCCCCCGGTGCCGAGTCCCCCGGGTGGGGCGAGGGCTCCCCGCGGAGCACGGGCTGCGCTGCAGGATCAGAGCCCTGGCAGGAGGGTGCGGGGGGGCCGGGCACCGCGGTTGTTTGCATCGACCCGGAAACATCAACAGCGGGCGGGAGGGCGGATCGGAGGCGGCGGCGGCGGCAGCGAGACAGGCCGCCCGTCGGGGCCGAGATCACGTTTCGGAGCGCAGCGGCGGCCGCCGTCCCACGCCGTGCCGGTCTCGGCGCGGCCCGGCCCGCCGGCAGCAGGTGTCCGGGCGCGACGGGCCGAGCCCGACGGGGCGGGCCGCGGCTGCGCCACCGCCGCTGCCAGCGTGCTGGAGCGTGGCGGGGGTCGCGGCGGGAGCCATGACGGGCGTGGAGGCCGAGCAGGAGTTTGACTTCGATTTCCTCTTCGAGTTCAAGCACAGTGATGAGGGTGGAGGTGGGTCGCGGCAGGGCGGCCGGGGCACCTCCGGGAGTGCTGGCGGCGGGATGCTGCGGGGAGCCCTCCTTGCGCTGCCCCTTTCGGGAGGGGAAAAGGCTTCCTCCCTTAGCGGGGAGAGGGGCGGGGGAGCCGGCAATCGCGGCCGGACAGGTCGGCTCGGCCCCGGGCGGCGCTTGTCGCCTCAGCCGCGCCGGGAAGCGGCGAGAGGGGCCGCGGCGACCGGGATAGAGTGCTGACCGGGCGGGCCGGCGCTCCTCTGGCGGGTCCCTGGCAGCAGCCGAACGAGGTGCAAGGGGAGACGACCCGGGGGGGGGGCCGGTGCAGAGTTTTTAGAAGTTTGGAGTTGTTTGACATGTCCGGACCCCCGCGCTGACCGCTCGCACGGCTTCCCCCGCTAGCTTTGCGTCTTGCCCGTGACAGAGATGGGCCGGTTGAGAACTCACTTCAGGCCCCTTTCCCCATCCCTTCGTGAGCCGAAGTTAGGCTCAGGATTTAGTTTGAAGGTCATCCGCAAATAAAAATAACGGGCGTGAATTTGTCACGCGTCACAACTGTTCCCAACTCTGGTGTCTCGGTCCGGCTGTCTGTTTTTATGGCTTAAAGCAATGCTTGAGGTGGAAATGAGGCGAACAAGGCTGGAACTGGCAGAGAGAGAAGATTGCAGCTTCCTGGTGTGTGGTTAACTCGCTGAAGTGTCGATGCTAGCGGGTCACCGTAAAGATCGCTTGTACAAGTGGATGACATAACATTGCCTCAGAGTAGGGCTGTGTTTGCTCTGTGCCTTATCTTTTTGCCTGTAAATTCTAGAAGGTTTGCAAATCCTTGTCTGCCTAACGCAGCCTACCAGGATATGAGCAAAGGTGTTTGCACCTTCCTAGCTCTCCCCAGTTGCCCACCTTTCTGGCACAATGTTGGTGTCCAAATAGTTGTTATAAGCTTCTAGTTTTTAGAAGGCAGTTTTTAGAGTTTCACACCAAGCTTTTCAGATAAGTGTTCTAGTGATTTGACACCTAAGTGTCTAAAGTGGAGAGGCCTAAGCAAATTAAGTGTCAAAGTCCCAGTCTGAGAAAAGTACCATTAGGCAATTTTGAAAGCATGAATTTAAACACAGACATAGCTATGGCTTCATCTTGAGCAATGTAAGGCAGCCCTCATCTTCTCTAAAGACCATATAAGCTGCTGGTGTTCAGCATTCCTATTTAAAGTGTGTAAATAAAAAACTATGGTGCTCAGTGATTTGCATGATCAGCCCATTAATGATAGAAAGGAATAAAACTTGTTTACTGTGAAATTAACTAGAGGAAAAAAAGGAGCTTTTTAACTGCTACAAAGGGAAATGTAATATATTTCTTGTGCTAGTTATACTTAATGTAAGTATGGATTTGTTGGAACAGAACTGATGCAAACCTGCACTGGTCTAACTGATACTGGGGTTTGGCCCAGGATATTAAAATACCCTGTTTAACAGGATATTAAAATACCCTGTTAAATGTGTCTTGGTAGTCTGTACACTGGTCCTGGGTGACTCTGTGAATCATAGTCATAACAGTGATACTATCGTGATGTCATTACTTGCCTTTCATCTGCATTAAGACTGTCAAAATATCCTACATAGCTACATTATGTGATGCAGGATTTTATTTCTAGCTGTCTCATTCACCCTGGTGAGGAAAACGTCAGCATGTCATAAATGCTGACTATGGATGTGTGTTTGATGAATTTTGTAAATATGTAAGTTTTGGAGAATTAGGTTTTTTTCAGAAATTTTACCTGGTGGTTTTTAGCCCACAAACCAATGTGTCTGTCTTCTTCCTAGTTCTGGCTTTGAGGCTTTTATATTTGGTGGAAAGATTTTCTACATGCTATCTGTAATGTTAAGATACCTAAATATGTTTGGAAGTCTTTGGATCTTGCATCTTTCTATTATGTGTACTATTGTATACAAAGTATGAGTTGTATGACGTTATTTTTTCTTGGCCCTTTGAAATTTAGCTTTTAAAAATGCATAATAGTTCTAAAAGTGTCTATTCCTTGTCATGTGAATTAGGGAACTTGTTGCTTATAGTACTGTCTTTATAGTCTGATTTTAAATATTTTTTTAAACTGGATTCCACAGGCTCATCTGAGTTTTGTATTGCCTATTAAGCCTGGGCTGCAGATCCCCAGCAGACTGCAGTGTTTGAATTTCACCCTAGTCATGCATTAGAATTTGAGCAAACTGCTGGCTCACAGTATTTACCCCTGTTATTTTGTTTGTTGTATTTTCAATACAAAGTCTAAAAGCACTGATTCTGCAGTCAGCAGTAGCAAAGCCCACCTGTTGGGTGCAGATCTGGGGCAGCCTGCTAAGCCCCCAGTCTCCTGACTGGGCTGTCCGGCTGCATGGTAGGGACCAGCTGGCAGTAGTTCCCAGGTGTGCCATGTTACCAGTGACTTCCAGCTGTATGCCAGAGCAGGGGGCTGTGGAAGGGTATGTGGAAAAAGAGCATAGCCAGTGTCCCAGCAGCAGTGTGGACATAGACATCACCTTCCACTGGAGCTGGAGAAAGCAGTGAAGGGGCTGAAGCTACCCTGAAGGTACTAGTCTAGACCCTATCTCTGAGCTAATTTCTGAAACAGATAAGGTCTTACCGCTGTTGTACCATGTCAGGGGTTTTTCCCATGATGGGCAGGAGGGAGGGAAGTGGTGGTGGTTGTGGTGGCACTGGATGGTATGGCCAAGTGTCAGGGCAGCAACAAAAGGGAACTGATTTTGGAAAGAGGGGATTCTGATCCCCCTGGCAGATCTGCACCTTGATGTGACCAATGCTCTTGGATTTTGTCGAGTAGCACCTCTTTTGCTGTATTTCCCGCCTCCCTGGTTGTTTGAATAGAGCGTGAAGCTGCAGCATATTTTGAATAATCCAGTGTTATTTGTGGCACACTGCAGTGTAATTTAATGACCTTTCCTGAGCAAATGGCCAGTATCTGAGGGTAGGCTAGAGAACAAGTTCAAAAGGTGTTGTTGCTCATCATTTCCAACTGTTACCTGCTATGTGACATGCATCAGCTGGAGCTGCTGTGAAGCTGCCACAGCACATTAATTTTTCCTAAGTACCGTTTGCCTTGGAGTCGTTGCCAGCGAGAAAGGTGAGCGTAGGATCACAGGTGGATGACACCAGAGAGGGCTGAGCTGATAAACAAGGGAAAGAAAATAGCTGGCTCTGCTGGTTACCAGCTTGGAGGCTCGTTTGCATTTTCAGAGCTCCCTGGTGGCCTCCGTAATAGCAGATGCAGTAATTAACACAGCCTTTCCATATCTTCTGAGGGAAAGTGCACAGGGTGACTGCCAAGGGAACTTGCCTCCTGGGATGGAAAGAGACAGGTTTCCCATGTGGAGTGGCTATGGCCACAGGGCATGTAGATTTCTCTCTATCCTGCAGGAACATGATGCTGCTGCCATAATAAACCTCAGGGAAGGCTGATACATTGCAAACACAGCTTGTGGCTGGAGCTGGAGCTGGATACATTTCCAGACTGCTGAGAGGAACCTGTGCACCAGTGTTACTCAACTCAGAGTTCAGCAGTCATCGTTCTGATACAAAGATTTTACTCTCTTTTCCCTGTAAAGAGATACTGGCATTAGAGCTTACGTGTCTGGCTCATGTGTCCTGGTGACACAGAGCCTCCCTATATCAGGAAGAATAGAGGTGTTGATTCCTCATCCCATTTCCCCCATGGGCAGCCCACCAATATCTCTGGGTGGCAAAAAGAGTCACATACGTGTCCCTGGAACAGGGGAGCAGAGCTGAAGGCATCCCTTCAGCAGGCAGACAGGAAGGCAAGGCAGAAATGATGCCATGTGGACCAGCTTTGAGACACTGGTCCCTGTAGCACAGCAGGAATGGAGGCATGCGAAGGGCACATTGTTCCTTGTGCTTGGTAAGGGAGCCCATTGGCACAAGGCTGTGATGTGATCTGTCACCTTCCAGGTTTTCCACAGTGGCTGTGCAACTCTGCTCTTGCTTTTATACACCCAGTACTGCTAAATGGTCAGAGAGCTGGCCCAGAGTGCGGCTGCTGGCAGTGCTTGATGTGGCGCGTGCAATAACGAGCAATTTCAGTAGAATTTCAGCTGTTGCTGAGTAGTGAGACATCCATGTTTATCCTTCACCTGGCCTCTGCCAGTTGAGCTGGAGGATAAGTGGTCCCAGAAACCAGAGCAGATCAATAGATCCATCTTTTTCCAAAATCCTAGTTAACTGGAACCAGTTGGAAACTTGCTGTAATGGAAACTTCAATTGTGTATAATTTTTTTAACAGAATGCAGTTGATCTTTTTCTTTGCTTTAGTCTGCCTCCACTTTTGATTTTTTTGTCCAGTTTTTTGTGTATTCCAACTTTTCGGGGGGGGGAGTTAGGGTCAGTTATGTAAAAACACATCTCTTCAGTTGTATTTCTGAATGATGCAGTCTCCCAGAATCCTGAAGCAATGTTGTTTGAAGACTCAATTTTTTTATTTGAAGGTTCACCTAGGAACCATGTCCTCAAGACCAGCTCTGTCTATGTACGTCCCCCATCCCAAGATATCTTGTCTTGTGCTGTTCAGTTAGTGGCATTTTCAAGGATGCTAGTCTGCAGCCTCTCACCCAGCATGGCACACCTCTGAGCTGGGTCGTTAAGAAAAGCTGTGCTTTTGTGTGTCATGCCATGTTCCTCCATTTCAGCTGGGTGTGTTACTAAGTGAGTATATTTGTGCAGCACCACATGTCATTCTTTGTTATTTGTTTGTTTCTTTCAGAACACTATAATTATGCATCTTCAAATGTAAATGCTGGCTTGCCTCTAAATGTGGCACATTCCTCATTGTCAACTCCATGTCATGGCCTGCAGACATCAAATCCCGTCATTTCAGTTGTCCCATCGACAAACCATCCCTCTGGATATGGAGGACACATTGACAGTGGAACCTCTGAGTACTACCTGCCGCCAAACATGAGACCTAATGGAGCTCCAGCGCTGGAGAGCCCCAGAATTGAGATCACATCTTACATGGGATTGCATCATAACAACAACCAGTTTTTCCACGATGAGGTGGAGGAGGCCATCCCTAACGCCAAGCGGTCACCTTCCACTGCCACTTTGAACTTGCCGAACATCGAGGCATACAGAGATCCATCCTGCCTCAGTCCAGCGAGTAGCTTGTCTTCCAGAAGCTGCAACTCTGAAGCATCTTCCTATGAGTCCAACTACTCATATCCATATACTTCACCTCAGACCTCTCCATGGCAGTCCCCGTGTGTCTCTCCAAAGACCACCGACACAGAGGAGGGCTACCAGCGCAGCATGGTGGCCTGTACTTTGCTCAGTTCCCCAAGGCACTCTCCATCAACATCTCCCAGAACGAGCATCACAGAGGAGAACTGGCTGGGGGCTCGCAACTCCAGGCCTCCATCTCCCTGCAACAAAAGGAAATACAGCCTCAATGGCCGGCAGACCTCCTATTCCCCACACCACTCCCCCACTCCTTCTCCGCAAAACTCACCACGGGTGAGTGTCACAGATGACACATGGCTGGGGAACACAAACCAGTACACCAGCTCCGCCATTGTTGCTGCCATCAACGCCCTCACCACTGACAGCACCATTGATATGAATGATGGGATTCCCATCAAGTCAAGGAAGACCACCATTGATCACACCCCATCCATGACTCTCAAAACTGAACCAGCTGGAGAGGATCATGGGACCATATCGCCCACTGCCGATTTGTCACCAGAAGACTTCACCAGCTTTCAGCACATCAGGAAAGGAAACTTCTGCGAGCAGTACTTGTCTGTGCCACAGCATCCCTACCAGTGGGCCAAACCAAAGCCTCTATCTCCGACATCCTACATGAGGTAAGGAATCCCAACTTAGAGAGCAATCCCAGTAGTATCCTTATTGCATGCTTTTGTTTCCTCCTTCCCCTTCCTGTCTCTGTTTCCTGCCAAATCTGCCAATCCACTCACTCCACAACGTCTTGTGAAACTGCCTCTGTTGTTGGTGTGGAGTGACCATGAGTCAAGCCTTGAAGAGTAAAAGAGGCTGTTCTAGGAGATGACTATCCATAGGTTGTAATCAGTTATCCACTTTCCAGGGGATGAGCCCCAGGCTAGGAAGTCTGGAAATCAGGCATTCAGAAGCTCAGGGAAACTGACAATTTGGTGCCGACAAACCTGTGACTCTACTTGAAGTTTATTATGTCTCAGTATTTTTATATTGAAGGACAAGGATATGAGTTCATTATGGTGATTGTTGCAGGGCCTTTTACATTTATGCTTTGTGCACAGTAAATACAAGTTAATTAAGGCTATAGTTCTTTTGTGAATTATTTCAGTTTATCTGAAATTATTTCAGCTCATCTGAAATCTGTTTATTAATCCTTTTCTGTCTCTACTGGACAGTGATTCTCTGTTTTTTTCTGTCTTCCCCACTACTTCTGCTTAAATAAGAAAAACTAATTTTTCAGCTCATAGTGGTTCAGTCTGTTCATCAAATTTATTTATCACAACAGGGCTCTGGGTAGGAAGCATCACAGAATAGCTGAAATCTGAATAACATTCTCTTTCTGTCATAGTTATAGACTTTATTTTGGAGTCTTCTGGAAGCTGTAATATGCAGATGCATGTGGTGCAGGAAAATAGTTCAGCTTTCTAAGGGTTTGTGGGCTGTTTCTAGTCCCTGGTTCTGATGGTCACCTCCTCTCCTCCTCTTCCCCAAGCACACCTGGCTTCTTGCTCTTGACAGTGAAGCTGCCTTTCTCAAAATGAAAGCACTAAGTGTGTAGCTGACGTATTGTAATTAGCGATGTGTTTCCTGGTTCTCAGCCTTGTCAGTGTCACCTTTCTTCAGCCAGCACCTCTCTGCCGTGTTCTGTCTCCTGAAACTGAGATGGAGTGGTCCATGGCTCTTTATGTTGCAGCCCGCTCCTCTTCCTCATTGTTCTCATTCTCCTCTGCATTTCCAAGCTCCTTTCAAGACCCTGGCTCAATTCAGTACTGGGAAACGCAGCAACCCCTTTGGCTCTGGCCACCAAGAGTTAGGCACTCACTGTCTTTCAGAGGCTTCTAACACATGGCAAATCCTTCAGCACCTTCCCATTTACTTAGAAAAAGCCTTTTGTGTTCACCCACTGCAGTGCCAAGTAGCCCACATTCATCAGAGAGGCTGGCCCTCAGCTGTTATATCAGGGGCAGCTTTTTGCCAACGACTTCAAGGGCAGGAATAGGACAGTTTGACCAAACAAGCTTTTATCTTTCTGTTGCAGCAAGTGGCCGTAGGCGCTGTGCCGCGGTCTGTCAGGAGGCACCCGGCGTGCCTGTGAGCTAACACAAACAAGAAAGGTGAAGTGCACAGAGCGAAGCCCCACTATGTTGTGTATTTAACATTTTTTCCACTGTTTTGGTCTTGTATAAAATATGTTTCCTGGTTTGAAATATGTTTCCATGTGATCTCATTAACTCGTGCTCTAGGGCAGTTGGAAGTTACTGTTGAAATGTGATTTTTAAGTTATTTTACCAATCAGATACACTGACAGTGCTTCCTTCCACCAAAAATACCTTTCGTTTTATGTATATGAAAGTGCTGGGCAAGTGAGCTCGGACGTCAACAGGATCACAGCCTACGCAACAGAAACTGTTATTTTAAATCTTTCCAAAAAAATTGGTGAATAATTTGTCACAACAGAGCTGGATTTTTTTCCTGTTATGTTACACATCTGTTCTATTTCAAACGTAAGGGCTGGAGGGGTGGATTCCAACAAACAACTCAGGCTCCAAAATCTACCCGGTCATAATGATTTTGAGATAACGAGATTTGATTACCTCCTCTGTCTCTTCCTGAATATGCAGTACAGTTTTCATCAAAAGCCAGCATGCCTTGGAAAATCACTGACGCCTTTCCCTCCCTCTCTTGCATTCCCATCTCTTTGGGAGCAGGAGGGAGCAGGCTCAGGCACACCATTGGCTGAATGCTGTCTCCTTTCCCAAGGTTTTATAGTGGGCATCAGTCTTAAAAGGAAACTCTTTTTTACTATTGTTACTAAAATTGATGATGTTTTTAATTTGTCATAATTAAAGTTCAATCCACTTTAGGCTTTTCAAATCCTGGAGCAGGGGAATAATAAGAGTATATAATGAGATTATAATAATGCCTGCCTTAACAGAAATAGAATCTTTATGTGTTTTGTGAGCTTGGATGCTCAGCCCCAGGCCGTGGGCTCTGTGGTGCAGATGTGGGCTCACACATCTCCCTCCAGACTATGAACATGTCACTGTTCCTGCACGGGACTCGGCTTGTGGGTGCAGAGGATCACAGAACAGGGTGGCAGGGTAGAGCCTGACCTAACAGCTGAGGCTTGAGCTGCACAGGTTAACCCAGAGTTGGCGGGGATTTGGCTGCAGTCCTCTGGTTGCAGCCCAGGGCCTTGCACCAAATCTTTGGATGTAGAAAATACTTAAAGACCAAGGAGAGATTTCAGAGGAAGCACTGGAACAAGTGCTGAGGTAACAAAGGGAATCATACCTTTTCTAGACCAAAATGAGTTATCTAAATATACCAGTCTGCCTCAAAAAGCCCTGGAGGTAAATCATGATGCAGAAAGTAAAGAGATGGTGTTGATGAAGCTCTCTCTCAGCTTTTATCTCCAAGATCTCTTTTTTTATTTCAGTATTTGTGCATTGTGCTGTCTCATTTTCAAATGCAACAAGTTTCTGTCCGTAATAGCTCTCTCATGCAGCAAATGATTTTAAGAGAAGCACTCTACTGAACAGTTACTGTACAAGCAGGCGATGCTCTGTGTTTCTCAAACCATTGCTGTGTCAGTGGTGTTACTTCTGTGCCATCTCTCCATCTCTCCAAGTGCTGTGTAATGCAGAATATCTTATGGGCAAAAATGTCAAAGCCAAAATGGAAGGTACAGGACTGGACCTCTGCCCTCAGCTATGGGGGCACTGTTAGTGGCTACATCTAAACTGAATTGCCATTGTTTGTATTCTGTACCTGCTCATAAGCAGGTCCTAAATCACCCTGTATCACAGCAAAAAGTATAGTCACTCACCAAAGTGCTATGTTTCTGAGTATCTTGCACACTTTATATGACTTCCTCTTTACCTGTTGTATTTCATTAAACACAAACTGAGATTTCCTGGAGTAATTTTCTTACTCTTTGAAAAATAGTGCATTGTATTTTTATCAAGTGTAATCGACTTAATCCAAAGAGTGTGTTGGCCTTTAACACTTGATCTTGCACTAAATGTAATGTTTTTCAAGAAAAGGAGAAATGGTTGGGTTTGTTGGGTGGGCATATGGCATATATGAGGTCTACCACGCCAAAAGGAGTTTCCAGGAGACAGGTGACTTTTAAAAGCTCCTTATGGTGTTTCCTTCCACAGCTTATTGTTTTAAACAGTCAAAAGCCACATTTTCTTTAGCTGCAGTCTCTTTTTCAACCTCAAAAATATGCATGTATGTTTTTGACTTCACAGGCACATGGTTATGTAGTTTTAAATATGGAGACTGAAGTTTGTACCTAGAGAATGTATGGTTGAATATCTCTCTGCAAGTTGCAAAAGTGCATTTTACTTTTGTCTGTAACAATGAGCTTTTTTTGGGGTTTTTTGTGGACTTTTTTGATTCTACTTTTAGGACTCTGACAGTATTAAACTCAAGCATGCAAAGTTGAGGACCCAAATGATACAATTTCCTTACAAGCTATGATTTTAAAATGTTGCAGACATTTTTATTCTTTCTTTTGATTTGTGGACTTTTCAGATGCTTTTGATTTTGTAGAAGTTTTTTGTTTGGTTGTTTTTTTTTGTTTGTTTTTTGTTTTTTGTTTTTTTAAGAGGTGTATTTTTCCAGATCATGAGATAGAGGGCAACCCAACTTGGGGAAAGTTGAGTTTCTCAAGAAAAGGTACCAGCAATCTTTGAGATGAGATTAGATGAGATTGAGATGAGATGAGATGAGATGAGGTGAGATGAGATGAGATGAGATGAGGTGAGGTGAGGTGAGATAGTCAGTGGTGCAGCAGCACCGGATTTGCTGACCTGTGCATCCATGGCAAACTTGCATGTTTATGGCAGGCGAGAGGAAGTTCCTCAGACAAAGCAAAGGCAGGGCTGTCTGGGCACGACTCAGTGAAGTGGGGACTTGTGGCTGTGTGGCAATGACCATCTCCTGGGACTCATTAGTGTTAATTGAGGGGCTGGCACTAGAAAGTGGACAGGGAAGAGCCCAAAATGCCACTAATCTTTTTTTTTTTTTTCTGCTATATTCCTGCTGAATAGGGATGTTTGGATGCTTTCAACATGTTTGTTTTGCCATCACATAGCAGTGACTTTTTATTACATTTGGTTGCTGCACCATAAGGCTGAACACTACTTGGAAGCCTGTCTCAGTAAACTGATATATTTTTGTTTGTTTGATTTAATCCTCCCCATGCTTTCTCCCAACTGTTTTCTTAGCTCATTCAAACAACCCTTTGAGTATCTTATTAATGGCCCTCCTTCACCAGCTCATTTTAACACCCGAGGATTCTAAATTCAGAATAAGCAGAAATGCGATGCCATCCACTTGTTATCTCCATTCCTGTGGCAATAATTTCTTGTCCTTTCTCTAAGCCATCAAACATGAAACTTCCCATGCAAAACAATATCTGAGTGTGAATTCTGAGGACAGAAGGGTGAAGTATTATGTGGGAGAATGACGACAACTCAGCATGAGGAATTCCAGTGCATCTCATGCACTTCACAGAGGAGCTACTTGCTCCACATGCCAGCAAAATACAGCCAAGTCTGGGGTGGGACACAGTATCTATTTTAACAGCTCAACACCCAGATTGCACAATTGTCAGACAGGAAATTAAAAAAAAAGAGAGAGTAGAATCTGCCTGTGTAAATTCATAGATGAAATATAAAGCAGGTGTATTTTTCTGACCACAATCAAGTTGGTGGACATGTAGCCATCACCGTTGTTTTCTTACTCTTTCAAAATCACACAGAGGGATCTTTCACAGGCATTCACTTTGATGTGAGATGAGTAATAAATAATAAATAGCAACCATATTTCCATTTGGTGCAGAGTTGGAGCAGGTTCAAGCTAGCAGCTTGGTAAAAGTTTCAGCAGCCCTGTGGTTTTTCTAGTTTGTGTTTTTGTTTCTATAGGAAAACTCCTTGTCAGAAAAAAATAAGTTTAGCACAGGGCTAAACTGTGCTAAACCCAGTCTCAGCTGTACTCCTTGTAGGTCACTCACTTTACTTCGAGTGCTGAAAGACACTGAGCATCTTCTCTTTCTAGGCAGTGGCTTATGCCACTCTCAGGCAGCTGTCTGGGGTAGGTGACGCCATGCTGCAGTACCTGGCCAAGAACAGCATTAGTCCTGGGTGAGACTGGCAGTTGTTCTTATACCTTCTGCAGTTTAGGACAAAAATGTTTGTGAATTTCTTTTTCCAGTGGCCTTGGGCACCTAGTAGGTTAGAAAGTGTAGTTATAATATGGAGCTTAAACACCTTTGCAAAGTTCAGCAGAAGTTTTTAGCTTCGTTTCCTCCCTGTCTATATTTCAGTGGACTGCTTAATATCTTTTTTTATTTCTGTTTTTTTTTGTAACTTGATAAATCTTCCTGCTAAAGGCAGCAGTCAGCCAGACTGGATAATCTGTTTTTGATTAAATCATATTGTGTATCTGGTGTATGCAAAATAAATCACTATTCATCTGTTTTTTAATTTGATTTATGTACCACGGAGTTACAGTGAGCCAGTTTTCTAGAGCCTAGCACCAGGTTTTGTGAACCTGCTTTGAAGCAACCATACCTCATTAGGAGGATTACAGTGAGATTTATTAGGGCACAGAAAGAAATGGGACAGGTTTTCAGCTGGTGGAAAACCTCATCTGAGGAAAAAAGACTGATGTGTATTTGATAGGAAGACTGCATGAAGACCTTTTCTTTCTCTTCTTGACTGCTGTGGTGGGGCTCCTCTCCACTGACATTGGCTTGATGAGGTAGTTTGGGCCTTTTCAAATTAATATTTGCAGCAACCAGATTTGATTTTACCACTACATGATTTGTTTGGTGGCTTTTTCATTTAACCATGTTTAACCACAGAAAATTAACTGCATGATGAAGATAACCTAACATAGGAAATAGTTCTGAAAGTCCCAGTCCATGACACTGCTAAATGCATCACTTTCCTTCCTTTATCAGGAAAAGTCCCATTAATTGTTAATTTATAATTGGGCAGGTGGTGCTTTGGAATTTTGATTGTAGATTTGAGGCTAACAGCAAACCATATTTTTGTTTTCATAATTTATTTGAGAACATGAATTTTACAACTTAATTATACTAACATTTTCAGGTGCTGATTTGAAAGGGGGAGGGTTATGTGTTTTGTCTTTGGTTCTTTATTTTCAAAGAGATGTCATTAATTACAAAACTATGACTTCTATGTATCTTTAGACAAAACCAACCTTCTTCACTTGAGGGCTACATGCTGTCAGTCAGAGTTCTTCTTCTTAGTTAAGTGTTAAAAATTTCTAATCTGATAGATGTTATACCCTCAGGAAAAAAAAAAATCCATCAAGTAAGAATTTACTTAAAACCAGAAACATCTGTTTAAAAATGTGTGCTGATCATCACCAGGAGAGACACAGCTGTTTTGCTCTACTCTTTGTCATTTATCATTACTCAAATATGCTTCATCCAGATTTTTTTTCAGACTAAAATATGTGTACCTAAAGTGCTAGGCAAAGAGCAGTGGCTACATACAATAGCCATCTGTCTGTAATTTTCTGCTGTCTCCTTGTACCTTGTATGAATGTGTAGTAGCAAAGAGCTTCCCCTCACCTCCAGAGTGGGCCCTAGCCATTTTGGGGGAAAGGCTTGCACAGGAGATCAGAAGGTGCAACATTCTGCCTGTAGCTGAGTCAGGGGCTTCCATGTGTGGATGGGCAGAAGGAAAATTCAGAGTTTGTACCTGGTAGGATCTTGCCAGTGGAGAGAGTGTCCCTCCTGGCTTCTCCTGACTCCAGATATTCACGGAAGCTCAGAATCTGCAGAAGCAACATCTTTCCTTTAGATAAGCTTTCACTTAGGGTGAGCTAGGATGGATACTTCTCTTCCTCTCTGTTATTTGGCTCCATGTCCTGAAGGCTGGAGAACAGAATAACTTGATGTTTGGAGCCTACAACTTGCCAGTGAGCTGTCCTGGAGTAGTAGGAGGTGCCCCAGGAAGCAAAGGTGATCCTGGTCCTAACCCAGGATGGGACTTGGTGGCTCCAGCTGACCCCTGTAATGTGTAAAGTGTGTCCATAGGCATGCAGATGCATGGCTCAGATTTGTAAAAAATGAAGAAAGATAATGTAGGGAAACTTAGCACCACCTGAAGTCTCAGTAGTGCATACACACACAGGCATTAACAGATGTGAGTTCAATATGCTCATGATACAGGGCTGGGTAAGCACTCACAAAAGCCAAAAAGGCAAAGCAAAAGAGTGCCTGTGCTAGTGGTAGAAATCCTGTCCTGCAGTGGAGCTAGCAGGGCTGCTGAGAGCTGTAATGCCTGAAAAGCCACAAGTGCACCGAGTTCGGATCACTGGGATAGTAACATGGAGTATCCAGCCTCCAACTGAACATGTGTTTGTAGTATGTGCATCCAGTGTGGAAGCTCTTGCACATCCTTTCCCCTTCAGGCAGCTCACAGGGAAAGGAAAGTTTTCAACTGTGATCCCTGGTGCTCAGACTGTCCTTGCTCCTGGACTGCAGCAGTGAGGCAAGCATGCAGTAAATCCCCAGTTCTCAGCCTCCTTGCAGGCTGGGGAGAGCTGGTGAGCCCTAACCTGCAAGCTGTTGGTGACACAAATCCTCTCACAGTGCCAGGGAACCCTGGCCCATGGCACCTACAAAGGGCCACTATTTTCTGCCTGCTGGTTGTCTTCTCCAGGCTGATGGGAGAAATAATAAAGTTTCACATAAAAGGGCAGGGGAGTGTGCTGCAGTTGTCCTGTTTAACTACTTGTAAAGACTTTTGAAAGACACTCAGTCAAGAAAATTCACCAAAGGAAAGAATATAGAGTGGATATGAAATTACTGTTTTAATTGTAAAGCTTATTGCTTCAATTTTAAGATTAATAAGTCTGTCTCAGGGCTGCTGTTTCTACTGTCCTTGTTTCTTTTCTTTTAAAGTATCAACTTGGCATTTATTAGAGGTCTCCCAGCTATTTTCAAGTGTGGTTTTGTACTGGAAGAGGGTTTCTGATAATGCCACTTTCCCACCACTGCATGCTGTCAGGATGCTTGATTATAATAGGTCCTTAGTATTTTAGTTAATTGTAGAGTCAGTGTTGAGCCAGAAGAGTGAGCTGCATTTTCTGCAGACTTGCTCATCACCATCAATAGGATTCATAAGCAAGTTCTGACTTCAGAGCTTTCTCCTTTGCTGTACATTAACCCAAAAGGATATGCTTTGCTTCGAGGCTCTCAGACATGCTTTGTGTTGGGAATAAAACAAGGAAATGGCTTTTTTAAAATTCCTTCTACCCCCTGTAAACAGAGCAGATTTGTTGAAACCCATTAGATTCATTAAATGCCAAACTATTTTGGCATTCACTTTCACAGCAGAAATTGTCTTCCTAAAACTCCCCTCTGTCTTTCTGCCTTTTTTATTTTGCTTTGAGAGATAATATATAAGATATTTGTAATCTGTGTCTTAAAAATTTTTAATTTTGGATACAAATCAGATAGCATCTGAGCCAGCAGATATGCTTGACCTGTAAATCTTTCTAAAATAAACAATACCTTCTATATTACTTATGTCACATTATCCTTATAGATTAAATTATAAATGTAAGATGGTGAAGGATGAACTGCAAGACAGTGTCTAAAGTAATAGCGCTGGCTGCTTGTGGTTATGATAGTGTACTTGATCTTAATTTTTAATCTGTTTTCCTTTCCATTGTAGCCCATCCTTGCCTGCTCTGGATTGGCAGCTGCCATCTCACTCAGGACCTTACGAACTGCGCATCGAAGTGCAGCCGAAATCCCACCACCGAGCTCATTACGAGACAGAAGGCAGTCGAGGGGCTGTGAAAGCATCTGCGGGGGGCCACCCCATTGTGCAGGTACCAAACCATGTAACGAGCAACACAGGTTGTTTATCTCAGTGTTCTGTGGCGAGTGCCATTTCTTTTCTAAAACCAAAAAGTAATGGGAGATTTTTCCTGTCCTCAGAAATTCCTGCACGTGACCACTCCTTAGAGTGTATTTTAAACTGAGTGGACCAAGCCTTTGGTGAAAACAATGCAAGAGGAATGTGAATACAGGGTGGATTGCTGCTCTGTCTCTGCAGGGCTCAGTGAATGTTCAGCTGGCAAGTGGTGATCATGGACCTATTTGTGCGATCAGGCTCCAGACATACAGTATACTGAAATCAGCTGGGGATGTGCCTCAGTACATTTAGTCCTTAACTGGCAGTTGGATCTCATCAGAACTGTGAATGCATGTTGGAATGCAGAACTGTAGCAGTGATGTAGAAGTATGTCACTGGTTTGGATGTTGCAGTGAGTTCTGAGCAAAGGCTTTTAGAGTTTCTTCTGTTCAATTTCTAAAACCCTTCCAGCTGCTCTAAAAAGCATTTGAGATCTGAATCTAGTTTTATTAATTCCACCAAGCTCTTTAATTAGTCTGTATAAAGCATTTAATTTAATAACACCCTAAACTGACCCTTAATTTGTTTATATGAGTAGTTCTCATTCATTTTTAAAGGGTTTTGCTCAGGAGCAGGAAGAACAAAATGTGGTTGTTTGAAACAAAAAGAGAAACAGTAGTGGGAGAGAGTGGGAGACAGTGTCTGGCCCTCCTCAGCTGCTGCTTTCCCACCCAGCAGTTAAACTCCCAGTGCTACCCATCAGGGCTGTGACCCTCTGTGCAGCAGAGCCCAGGTTTTATTGCTGCCCGGATGCCACAGGACTTGTGGATGCCAGGGCACTGCTGCCATGCTCACACAGCTTGGGCTTGTGCCACAAGCCATGCTGGGGGAGCAGTGGCTTGTTGAAAGCCCAGATGGCTCAAGATGATGTATGGACCACACGTGCAGGGCTGTGCATGTTTGTTTAGTTGCTGTAAGCCCCTGTTAGCAAACACGTCTGTGGAAGGAATGGTGGGAGACTGGGATGACGCTGGGCAGAGAATGCTGCTGTGTAAATGTGTGCTGCTGCCACAGCTGGAAAAGGAAAGTGAGGGAAGTTGTCATCAACAAACACACTTTAGTTCTGCCAGAACTTGTCAGTGACATGGGATTATGGAAGCTGTCTGCTGGAAGTTGAAAGGTTTTAGCAGAACATTTGTGAATGATATTAAAGAGGCACATGTGGCAGACATGCTTGTTTACAATTAATGCCTACTCGGTTTGTGGCTTGATGCAAGGAAATGCAAATGGCGAGGTATCAATTTGCAAAGGCCAGCTTGGCACTTAAAGTTTCTTACGTGCATTTTGGAAAGACTGAATGTGATGCCAACATTAAATTGGACTAAATGTGTCCAGACATTTCCCCTCTCATCCCCTGTCCCGGTCTGTCAGGAGGGAGCATGCTGCTTCCAAACACAAATGAGTGTCGGGAGAGGGAGAGGGAGAGGGAGAGGGAGAGGGAGAGGGAGAGGAGATTATGGAAGGCCATGAAGGGAAAGGGGAGGAAGCAGACAGTCCCAGCCCTGTCAATTGGCTCTATTGGTTTAATAAGGATTAATGTATTTTTTGGTCCTTTTGTTACAACCCAGAATAAAAGAAACATAAAGAGGTGCAGAAGAAGCTTTTTTTGTACTGGCATTGCCATCATGGCCAGTTATCTGTTGGGAGAAATGCATAAAAGCTCTGACTTAGACCAGAGTTGAATAGATGGGTGGATTAAAAGTACTTCCACAAAGAAAGGAAGTGTTTATAAATAAGTTTTGTAAGACAAATAGTAAGTACTTACAAATAAAGAAGTATCTGAAAGACAAATGTATAAATAAATGGAAGCGAAGGAAATCTAGGGAGTGATTTCTGTTCAATTGGTGACTGGCAAAACCTGAAAAATGCACCTCTGAAGAATCAACATATTTCCAGATTTTGCAGCTGTTTGGGTCAGATTTGATTCATCCCACTGGGTTACAGAGAAAGGAGCTCAAGTTTTGAAGTTCAGACTCAGATGTGAGGTCAAACAGAATCTGAGTGTCTTCAGGAGAGAGATTTTGGAACAAGCTTTTCACTCTTTAATATTTCTGGTGTTTTCTATTCTGTTGACTCAGGGAAAACTCTCATAAAACTGCTTTGACCTCTTGTACTACCCTTTTCTGTTACATTTTTCCTGTGTTGACTGTCAAGTCTTTCTTATGTCGGTACTTAGGGGAAACTTGCTTTCATTCTACTGTTGTTAAAGCTCTCCCCGCTTTATCTTCAACAAGAGAATGTGGATGAGGTCTCTTTCCTCTCTCAGTTTTTTCTATCTTCATTTAAAACCCTCTTTCGCTGGCATCTTGCTTCCCAAAGTAGGAGACGTTCTCACACTAATACCTCCACAAATCTGTTGGGCATGCTAAGGCAGAGAAGAAATAAATCCAAAAAACATCCACTGTTCATGGCATGGTTCCCAAGCAAAATTGCCAGGAGGTTGCTTTTTCTGCAGCCATAGCAGGTTTATCTATTTTTCCTGGACAACATTAGCTTCCTTGCTGCTGATTCGTCTCTTCTTTTAGGAGGTGGAATGTCTGAGGATCAAAGGTTTCTCAGGCAAGCATGCTGGATAAGGAGAGCAGTAGCATAGGAAGGCAGGAGTCTCTCATGGGTATGACACAAAGTCCAAGCTTGGGGGCCAATTTTTTCCTTGGTTCCTCCAGGCTCCAGACTTTTCTGTATAGCTGGGAAGGGCCCCATGTATAGCTTAGGACCTGTGCAATGGCACCACTGTATGAGATTTCTTTTCTCTCCCAAACCTGCACATGGGGAGAGGCAGGCAGAGTTGAGCATGGCAGGCTGCCAGAGGAGCTCATACTGACCCATGCCAAGGCAAGCCTGGTGCACGCTAGGGGCTGCCTGTGGCAGCAGTCCTGTCTACCACTTGCTCCTTATCATCTCTGAATCATGTATGTGACTTGCTCACTGGAAGCTCCTGTGGGCCATCTCCTAGGCATATTTCAGCCAGCAGGATTTCCTGTGGATTTCCTTCTGTGGAATGGCAGCACCTTTCCCACTGCACTTAGGAATGATATGGTTTGGAGCACTTCAAGTTGCCTGTGAGGGCTCGTGAGCCTGGTAACACAATATTCCTCTCTCTCACATTTTGCTTTTGCCTGTTTGGGTGTTTTGCTGCCATGGCTGCTCCCAATTGCTAAACTTTTGGAGAGTGGGATGAGCCGGCGCACCTGGTGAGCTAAAAATGCCGCAGAGGATTGGCAAGTGAGTGGTGCTGGGGAGCGGTGCTGGTGAGCTCACGCCTGGCACTGGCTTTCACCCCTTGGCTTGGGGAAGTATTTTGCGAGTTGCTGTTGCCTTTGGTGATTTTAGACTGGAGTACTCCCACCTCTGAGTCAGAATAGGGATGGTGCCCTGGCTGGCATCAGGCATTGGGAAGCTGTATATTGTGTCAGGTGACTGTTAAACCTGGGACCACTCTGAGGAGCAAAATCCTGTCTGTTAGCATCCTGCTGGCACCTACTTCTTCTCAAGTTAGTGGCTCAGGTGAGGATTCTTCAAACAAAGCAAAATTAGGTGAATGGGTTAGTCAGGAAAGACACAGCATTACATAATTACTGGCACATATTAAGTGAGGTGAATTTAATTCAAGGGGTTTTCATCCAGAACACCTTAAAAATGTTTTCCGTTTAGACCTATCTCACAATTCTTCATTTTTGAAAGTAGTGCTGAGGAGTTGCACAAGATGGGATGTGCATTCCAGCCAGTAATGGCTCTGTTTCATCTGCAGGTTAGTAATCCAGCAGATAAAAGTTTGGGCTCCCCAGGGAGGGATGGCACCAGATTATAAATACGCAGTCTGTAGATATTCTAATTAATAACTCATCTTTGAAATAAATCAAGCACTTTGACTGCCTGAGATGGAATTTTTACAAGCAGGGTGTGGTGTATCTATGAGATAAAATCCAAATACTCAAGAATGTTTAATTAAAGGACATGATGTACTCCCATAGAAGATTGTACTCAATGGTGAAAGAAAATATTCAAATGCACAGAGTAGTCTAGTAAGCACTTTTAAAGCCATGACTATTATTAAACTTTTTGACACAAAATATGCCATGAATTATCTTCAAGATCACTCCTGACATGAAGTAGATAAATTGGTTAGAAAAAGGAAAAAAAATGAGTTGTAGGAGTTTTCCTTTTTATCTAAGTAACCAGTACTATCCAGAATTGTTTTTCCTCTTGAAAAATTAAGTTATTATGGGATATACAGTGAATGCTGTCTTGCCTTTCACTGTACCTCTTAGACTGAGAGGGTAGAGGTTGTGTTTGCCTCCTGTGCTCCAACACAAAATTTCATCTGAGCCTGAGATGAATAGTCAGAAGTCCCTCATTTTACAGGCAAAACACAATGATTTGTCTACTGATTTACATTGTCAGAATATTGTTTATGCTAGGAGACTTGCTAAAGAGTCATCTGTGTCCTTTCTTGACAAGATCTCAAATAGGCATCTCAGGTCTGATTTTCAAAGGCCTTGATGCATACATTGGGATTTTTAAATCACCTTATGACTAACAAGTGTCAGAATCTCCTCTATGGCAATCACTGCCTTGGTATTTTTTGTACATCTCCACATCACCATAATTAGGCACCAACATGCCCCTGAGTTATTTGTGCACCTCAGCAACACATGGAGTGTCTTATTGTTTGCTTCCCACGTATTGGTTGGTTTTGTTGCTTTGGTTAACAAGCACGAAGTCCCGGTGCAGGTGCTGGCCACCAGAGGTATCTGCCAGAGCCCTTTCATCTTCAGACCTATAATCAATTAATACCTTTTGCAAACCCCTTGGGGAATAGAGAGCCTCATTGACAAAGCAGTGTAACTTCAGGGGCCATCACACTCTGATCAGCACCTCTCATACACATGGCTTCATGCACAGCCGACAGCG